CTGCTCATTTCGCAGGTCATGACACATTTCAGTTCTGTAAAAAACATAAATCCCAAATTAGGAGGTCTGTGGGGCAAAAAAAAAAAGATCTAGAACAATATCTATTTCCAGGACAATGAATTTATGTAGAAATAAGTAATATACTTATGAAGAAAGAGAGAGAAAGAGAAAATAATATTGATACTATACTGAAGGCTGCAGAAATGCATCTCAGTCTTTTTGCCTGCAGGGATTGCTGCCTGTGCTGCTTCAAACAGGCCCAACTGAACTAACCTGTTAACACCCAATTAACGTTTACTTAACATCTGCTCAATACATTCTAGGTGATTCAAAACCAAAGCTATTCAAAATATTACAGCTCATTCTTTTTAGAAAGCAGTCACATCCTGAGTAGAAACACTAGTTTCCTGCCAACATGCTGTAAAGAAGGACTCTTGCTCTCTGTTCACAAGTAGTGGTCTCTCTACAAAGGTCCAACACACCCTGCTGTCAGAGCTTTAGCTCTCCAATCAGCAAAGGAGCAATAGTTAGGCTGATTACAAAGTTACTTGCAAGGCGTGTGCTGGATCTCTAGAGAGAGGCCATAGCTTTCACACAGAGAGATCTCCTGTTCTGCAGCATGTGGGGTGGGTGCAGTGCGGTGCAGCGGCTGTAATGACACAGGGGCCAGGATGATGGTAAAACAATGTATTGAGGGACTCGAAAAGAGTTACAACAAATCAGTGAGGAGTAACGCCCATCCGAGAACTCAGATTTCACGGCAGTGGTAGGCCTGAGCTGAAAAGAGCACTACCAAGGGAGGTGGAGTGCAGCATGGCTGGTCCAGAACCAAGAGGGAACTTGCAGAACTGTAGGTGAAGGCGCTACTCTTTCCCTACTCCTCAGGAACCTTTCACTACTGAAAGTGCTGTCTCTGATGGACAGGTGGGCTCTTCTTACACTAGCCACTTTGCAAATGCGCTCCAAAACCTGGGGGCAGGGACTTAAAAAGACTCTGCTTGACCCAAGATGGCTGCCAGGGTCACTTGGATGCAGCATAGCCAACCAGAACACTGCTTCAGGGGTCTGAAGAAACCATAGAGAAACCAGCTTCCTCTTACCTTCCTCTCTAGCTGCAGTACCACTTCAGTTAGGCACCACCTACAGTGGAAACAGACAACACCAGCCTACAAGCATGCAGGCAGGACACAAAGTTTTCTACTCACTGGTGGCTTCTTCAAGAAATTTAACAGACTTTACACACTTTTGTTTTAATGTTCATGGAATTTAGATGATTTATTTAGCAGATTTAAACAGAAAGTTAATTTGGTCTTTCACTAAAAGAGAAGTTGAGTGATGTCATGTTTGCAAAATATCACTGATGAACATGGTAGCCTGTTGCTGTCACTTTCAAGGTGGAAATGAAGAAACTTTAACATCAGAATGTTACAGCCACTCATGAGAAAAGATGAGCAGGCATAGAAGCTCAAGGGCCCATTTCCATTTTTGTCATGTGTTAAATTGCATTACTGTGCATTGCATGAAAGCAATAATGGGCTACCAATGCACTGAAAAGTCACAAAAATAGGATGTGTCACAAAATTTGTAACTCAACGTACCATATGATACATGTGTGGTGCCTTAATACGCTTAGGCGATCTTAAAAATTAAAGCCACCACAACGCAGCAACATACAGTTGTGTCCAAAATTATTCAACCCCCACTGAAATTTGAGTGTTTTGGCCAGTTTGACATTGCTTTTGATCATTCAGTCATCTTGCTTACATTTACATTAAAGAGGCACTTGTAAGTCAGACAAATATAAACATAACAGTTATAATGAAATAACCACAAATGTCTTTTCTGTGCTCACAGCATTATCAGTTTTATTCAACCCCCAAGTGACATTCAATCTTAGTACTTAGTACAGCATCCTTTTACAGTTATAACAGCTTTTAAACGTGAAGCATAGCTTGACACAAGTGTCTTGCAGCGATCTACGGGTATCTTCGCCCATTCTTCATGGGCAAAGGCCTCCAATTTCAGTCACATTCTTAGGCTTGCGCACTGCAACTGCTTTCTTTAAGTCCCACCAGAGGTTCTCAATCGGATTTAAGTCTGGTGACTGCGATGGCCACTCCAAAATGTTCCAGCCTTTCCTCTGCAACCATGCTCTAGTGGACTTGGAGGTATGCTTGGGATCATTGTCTGTTGAAAGGTCCAACGTCTCCCAAGCCTCAGGTGTGTGACGGACTGCATCACGTTTCCATCCAATATCTCCTGGTACTGAAGAGAATTCATGGTACCTTGCACACGCTGAAGCTTCCCTGTACCTGCAGAAGCAAAACAGCCCCAAAGCATGATTGACCCTCCACCATGCTTCACAGTAGGCAAGGTGAAGGCCTTGTTCTTCCTCCTCCAAACATAGCGTTGATCCATGGGCCCAAACAGTTCTAATTTTGTTTCATCAGTCCACAGAACACTATCCCACAACTTTTGTGGTTTGTCCACATGGCTTTTGGCATACTGCAGTCGACTCTTCTTATTCTTTGGAGACAGCAAGGGGGTACGCCTGGGAGTTCTGGCACGGAGGCCTTCATTACGCAGTGTGCGTCTTATTGTCTGGGCTGAAACTTCTGTACCCACATCTGACAAATCTTTTCTCAGTTCCTCAGCAGTCACACGGGGACTTCTCTCCACTCTACGCTTCAGGTAGCGCACAGCAGTCGAAGTCAGCATCTTCTTTCTGCCACGACCAGGTAGCGTTTCAACAGTGCCCTTTGCCTTGAATTTGCGAATGATGCTTCCTAAGGTGTCTCTTGGTATGTTTAACATCTTTGCAATCTTCTTATAGCCATTGCCCTTCCTGTGAAGAGAAATCACCTCTTCTCTTGTCTTCCTGGACCATTCTCTTGCCTTCACCATGTTTGTAACCACACCAGTAAATGTCTAGAAGGAGCTGAGTATCACAGTCATTTTAAGCTGCCTAATTGGTGCTTATTATGCTTGATTGCTGCTCGGTGACATCCACAGGTGTTTTCAATACCTGATGGAAAGCACCTGTATGAACCTCTGTTCTTCAGAGTGGTAGTCTTTAAGGGGTTGAATAATTGTGGCAATGAAGAAACCACATAAGAACCATTTACTACTGTATTAACATAAACAAGATGTCATTTTAGTTGCATTTGGGTAGTTACAACGTCCTTGTAGGATTTGATTCTGAATACAATTCCAAATGTACACTATAGTCCCTAAACCCCTTTACAGCATTGGGGGTTGAATAATTTTGGACACAACTGTATATAAGGTGCAATACTGCAATGCAATCATGTAAATGGATCCTATGTAGGAAATGAAAAGAAATCATATAGTAATTTATGTTGTAAAAAATCTCTCAAAGCAACTTACAGGTTTCTGAAGTTCTTATACGATAAGACAAAATCTTCACTGCAATTGCTGTTTAGATTAACAACATCCCAGAGACAAAATATTTTCTCATGGAAATCATTGAGGCATTCCAGATTTGTTATTCTTGGAATGTCAGCTGGAAAGAAGGACAGTATATTGTTAATAGTTCCAAGTACCTGCTGCTTCCAGACAACTACATGTAGCACCCTCCTAGTTAGCACAGGTTGCTGGTTAAACTTAGTCCAGCTCCTCTGTAACAGTGAAGCAGGGGTTGATTGTTCTGGTCTGCTCAATGTTACACAGGCTGCTGGTCTAAATGCTTTCCCCTGCATTTTGGAAGATTCTAGAATTAGAGCCAGAAGAATGGTAGAGAAGCTTGAATGTTTGTGGAAACCCAGCCAATCCCTCGAGAGGTGTGTTCAGAAAGTAGTTGGAGAGCCCTTAAAACAGTCTGAAGCACCAGAGTAGAGGTTGGATCCTAGGTTAGCCCTGCCAAAGGAGTCCCCTGCCTGAGGGGCTCTGCCCCTATGAGCTGTGTGCTGAGACGCATTTTGGACATTATCAATGTCCCAGCCATAGCTTAGGCTTGGGGGCCTATTCCTCAAAATCTGGGGTTTCTTTTTTATGGTCTAGAGAAGCACTCTTAAGGATACCTGGTGGAGGCTGGACAGAAGAGGGTCCAATGGTTGGTGATATCATCAGTCTACGTCTTCCTCACTTAGTGCCCAGTGGATGTCAGAAGATGGTAGCTGATGATCCTGAGGACTGTTAGCCTGCGACCCAGGTTCTGGGCTCTAGAGACTGTAAGCAGCCACTAGTTCCACACAGGGACTAATCTAAAGCATTCCTCCAAGCAAGTAGTGCCTCTGCCAGTATAATGAGAAGAGTCCTTAGTTACTTCGATTCCTTTGGTTACCCCATACCAATCCAAGCTTTGCTCAGCAATAAAAACATAAAAGATACCCTTGTCTTAATCAGAGAATCAGAGAGAAAGAGAAGAAAATACAGTGTGCCTGGCTGCATGTGTACTAAGTGGGGAAAACAGGACCATTCAAAACCAACAGGGGTGCGTCACATACACATTGAGCAAGTTTCTATCAGAAGACAAAGTGAAAATGTTTGTTCTCTTGCAACAGATGAGGTTCTCATATTCAGCCTCATGTATCAAAGTACTGGGTCTTCCTTTCACAGGCTCATGAAGCAAAAACATCCAGCCATGAAAATATACCAGAGTGACCCATGATCTATACTCCCTTCTCCAGCCACCTTATTCCTTACAAGACAGAACATTTTCACTTTTTAAGTTCATATCCACTTTAGGGGTCTAGGGGGCTCTTAATCTAAATCTAGCTTGGAAGCTATTTGGGGGCAGATATATTGATACATAGTAAAGGAAGCAAACAGTTGCCAATTATACTTACATCTGCTTGATGCTGTTAGTGACATGATAACCCAAATGAAGCTGATCTGAGTAATTCCATTTTTCTCCATCTTGAGCACTGCAGTTGTCATCTCATCAGTAGGATGCACAGGGACCTATGTGGGAAACATGAGAGAAACAAACTTGGAACTCATAAGTTTCAGCACATTTACAATAACCTAATTCATAAACAAGCAGCTTAAAGCGGAGCTCCACCCAAAAGGGGAAGTTCCACTTTAAGCCTTTGTCCCCCGCTCCCTGTTAAGGATTGGCACCTTTTGGGAGCAGATACCCGAATTTGATAGGTACCCGCTCCCTGCTGCGATTGCCTAGGCGATCGGAAGTGGAAATTGTCCTCCCTTTCCTCTCTCCCTGTAGTCTTCTGGGATGCGTGACAGGTCCCAGAAGACTACAGGGTCATTCACAAAGCACAGCGCTTATCGCGCATGCACAGTGGGCACCCAGCTGTGAAGTCGCAAGCTGTCACAGCCGGGTGCCCACACTGAAGATGCCAGCATTGGGGAGAGAAGATGGCTGGTGAAAGCAGCGGTGGTGAGGACACCGCTGGGCTGAGGGACAAGTAAGTGTCTGTATTGTTTCTTTTATACAGCTGGAACTCCAATTTAATAAGGTTCTTTTCCCCCCACCCCAAAAAAAAATATTAAAGGTCAGCAGCAACAAACACTGTAGCTACTGACTTTTGATAAAATGACACTTGCCTGTCCAGGGATCCAGCGCTGCCCTCACCCAAAAAAATTCTTCAACAGTCTTCGGGTCACCAGTGCCGCCATGCTAACTGTGGGAAACTGGCTGTGACTTCTTGTGGCTTCACAGTCTGCTACCCACTGTACATGCACGAGCCGCACTGCGATTTGTGGATGGTCCTTCAGCCTCCTGGGACTTGTGACATGTCCCAAGAGGCTGTGGGTGGTCTCCTGCAGACCTGTCAGTATATCTGCTTTCCATATGGGATGTACAAGCAAGCAGATATACTGACAGGAAGAATGAATGAACTATCACGGTGCTTCACAGCGCCATGGTAAATAATTGAGTACTACAAGCCGACAGCCGCTAAGGCTGTCGGGAATTGTAGTTTCTCTTTCGCAGAAAATTTGACCGCTAGCTGGGGCAGGGGTTTTGGGGATCCCCCCACTAGCTGTCAAAATGGGGAGATAGTCCATTTTCTCTTTGGGGTTTTTTCCCCTTCAATTTTTCTTTTGTTTCTATTATAAAATTTTGCAAACAGGTAATTTTCTCCTTCACTGGTGTGCGTTAATGAGGCTGCACTGAAAGGCAGCATTGATGGGCACTGATAGGCAGCACTGATGGGCACTGATGAGGCGGCACTGTTAGGCAGCATTGATAAGCATTGATAGGCTGCACTGATGAGGCGGCACTGGTGGGCATTGAAGAGGAGGCACTGACTGGCAGCACTGCTGGGCACAGATTGGAAGCACTGCTGGGCACAGATTGGAAGCACTGCTGGGCTGCACTGTTGAGCACTGATGTGCAGCGCTATTGTGCACTGATAGGCACGTTTGGGGCTGCACTGATCAGTACCCTGATTATCACTATATTTCTCCCTTGACAGTTGCCGCTTATTGGCAGTACTACCGATAACCGGCGGTTGTGTTTTTACATGGTGATCAGCTCTGATTGGACACAACTGATCACATGGTAAAAGTCCGCTGTGATTGGCCTTTTGCCTTGTCATGTAATCAGCTGTGTCCAAAGGACTCAGAGATTACAGAGAGTTCCAGGTGCACACCACTGGGGGTGTGCAGGGGGGCGCATTCTGGGAGGACATCATATGACGCCCTCCAAGAACTGGACAACAGTGCTGTAGCCATCATTCGGGTATAGTATGGTCAAGAAGCTGTTAAGAGTATATGTTGCCTTGCAATGCTCCTCTGCTGCCTCATTGCACTACCAGAGCCTGCAGAAACATTCAGTACTTATCTATATGACATTCCTCCCAACTGTCCCTCTCTTGGAGCCAAAACCTTCTGCCTAGATTTCCTTCTCTGTGGTCCCTCATTTTGGACAGATGTGAAGGCCAATGTAACGAATGCAATACATATCTGCCATAAGTGGCATGCTACACTAAACCTATCACTTTGTATTGTTGTTTTAAAAAGCCTGTTTAAAGGAAACATTATAGAAAAAGCATCTTTGAATTTAGACAATCATTTTTTTTATAATACTTACCGGTAATTAGTTCTAGTTGTATTAAAGGGTGCCTTTCTTTCCCATCTCAGAAAGTTGGGAGGTACAGTATGGGGGGAACGTATGACCCTCACGCACCTCCCTACAATGCAGTGCAAATTGGTGACAAATGGGAACGGGGATGAATACATATTAAGGGGAAACTTTCACAGGAAGCTCATGCAGCTTGGCAGTGGATTTGGGTGTCAAGGTGGTGATATTCCAAGGCATTGAGTACTTTTTCATTAGATAGCAGTCATTGCTTAAAGCGGAGCTCCACCCAAAAGGGGAAGTTCCGCTTTAAGGACTGCTCCCCCGCTTCCCATTAAGGATTGGCACCTTTGGGGGGCGGGGGGGGGGGAGCAGGTTCCGAATTTGACAGGTACCCGCTCCCACTTCCGGTCCGATCGCCTACATGATCGGTAGCGAAAAAGGTGTCCTCCCTCCCTGTAGTCTTTTGGGACACGTGACAGGTTCCAGAAGGCTACAGGGATTATTCATGAAGCGCTACTCGCGCATGCGCAGTGGGCACCCGGCTGTGAAGCTGCAAGCTATCACAGCCGGGTGCCCACACTGAAGATGCCGGCCTCCTGGAATACAGGACGGCTGGTGAAACAGGCTTCGAGGGACACACCACAGGACCGAGTTTTTTAAAAAGTCAGCAGCTACAGATTTTGTAGCTGCTAACCTTTTTTTTTTACAGGGTGAGTGGAACTCCACTTTAAGTAGAAAAGCCTATCATCTGCCAGCATGCTGTATAGAAGAACCCTTGCTTTCTGTGTTTAAGCAGTGGTCTCTTTGCAGAGGTCCAACACACTCCTGGCTGAGTCAGAGCCAGAGCTCCCCAATCAGCATGGCGCATGAACTTTCCTGACTGCAGGTAATATCTGGGTTTGCAGAGATTTCGGTTGCACACAAAGTGGATTTTTACCCTTTCTGGATATTGAGGCAATTGTGTGCCCAAAGTTCAGTGTTAGTCCTCCTGCACACTTGACATTTTTACAGCGGCTGTTTTTGGCTTTTGACATTTTTTTCTACAGCTAGTAAACTCCCCAGCATGTTATCCTGTGTCCATGCACACATAGACTGTAATTAACGTTTTTGGCTGAAAAAAACACCAGGACTAGTGGGTTTCTAAAAACATTGAAAAATGTGGCAAAACGTGGTAAACCGCCGCAAACCGGCGTTTTTGGACTTTTTTTGACCCCCCAAAATTTTTCTTTTTTTGGATGAAAAAAAAAAACACTAAAAACCGCAAACGCGGGAAAATGCCGCTAGTCACGGCAAAAGGCCACTAAACTCTAATTCAAAAACACAAAGAAAAGTTGAAAAGCTCACGTTTTTAACGTGACCTTGCACAGCTAACGTTACCAGCGTTATCAAAACGTCCCGTGTGAATGAGGACTTACATTGAAGTTCATTTATCCCTTTTGACCCTTTACTATAACATAAGCAAACTATCCTCCATTACCACAGATGCATACTTAGCTAGATCAGAGGACTGCAGCCTCAGATGTTTGTTTACATCCTGCCCATTACAGTCCTATAGACTTCTATGGGGCATTGTCCCGAGGCTGGAGACAGGAAGGGAGATGGCCACCATAGACTTCTATGGGGCATTGTCCCGAGGCTGCATTGATCACCATAGACTTCTATGGGGCATTCTCCTGAGGCTGGAGACAGGAAGGGAGATGGCCACCATAGACCTAGACTTCTATGGGGCATTGTCCCGAGGCTGGAGACAGGAAGGGAGATGGCCACCATAGACTCCTATGGGGCATTGTCACGAGGCTGGAGACAGAAAGGGAGATGGCCACCATAGACTTCTATGGGGCATTGTCCCGAGGCTGGAGACAGGAAGGGAGATGGCCACCATAGACTTCTATGGGGCATTGTCACGAGGCTGGAGACAGAAAGGGAGATGGCCACCATAGACTTCTATGGGGCATTGTCCCGAGGCTGGAGACAGGAAGGGAGATGGCCACCATAGACTTCTATGGAGCATTGTCATGAGGCTGGAGACAGGAAGGGAGATGGCCACCATAGACTTATATGGGGCAGTAATGCACAGGCATGGCCAGGATGTAAACAAATTCCTGGAGTGGCGGCTGCTGGATCTCAATATGTATGCAACTGTGGAGGGGGACGGTGTGTGTTAGGTTAGGTGAAGGGAAAGGGGCAATAAGGATAAGTGCACTTTGTTTTAAAAAGCACTTATCCTTTATTTAGAGCCAAGTGATAATATCTATAGCAACCCAACAGAATTATTATTGTTATACAGGATTTATATAGCGCCAACAGTTTGCTCAGCGCTCCTGCTCCTCGGAGCTTACAATCTAGGAGAATTCATTGTCCTGCAATCTGACTTAAACATGGAGGCTATGGGTTACTGCATTTTGCAAATCACCACTGCTTTTTTTTGCACTGCCTTATGAGGTCTGTAAGATTGTAATTGCCCGTGAAAGACTGACACGTTTAATTTAACTATTTGCCCTCCAGAGGATTTACCCCCCTTCCTGACCAGGCCATTTTTTGCCATACGGCGCTGCGTTATTTTAACTGACAATTGCACGGTCATGGCAACACTGCACCCAAATTAAATGTATGTCCTTTTTTTTCCCACAAATGGAGCTTTCATTCGGTGGTATCTGATCGCCTCTGCGGTTTTTTTTTTTTTGTGCTATAAAAAAAAAAAAACGACAATTTTGAGAAAAAAATATTTTTGACTTTTTGCTATTAAACATGTCCAATAATTTCATCATAAATTTAGGGCAAAATTTATTTTTCTACACGTCTTTGCTAAAAAAAAATCCCAATATGTGTAAATTAATTGGTTTACGTGAAAGTTGTAGCGTCTAAAATGGCGATATATGTTAGAATTTTTTTTATACTAGTAATGGCAGCGATCAGCGACTTATAGCGGGACTGAGGCGGGTATTCTGACACTGTGGGGGGAACTGACTAACTGCTACTGACATCCCCAGTGACACCAATACAGTGATCAGTGTTAATAAAAAGCACTTACACTGTACTAATGACACTGGGCAAGAAGGGATTAACATCTGGGGCGATCAAAGGGTTAACAGTGTGCTGTGTGTGTGTTTTACAGCATCAACACATTGCTTTGTATTGCTCTGCTATGCTAGCAGTATTTCTGGTAATTTACTTCTGCACAATATATCAATCAGCCATAACAGTATGACCACAGACAGGTTAAAGTGGTTGTAAAGGTTCAAAGTTTTTTATCTTCATGCATTATATGCACGAAGGTAAAAAAACCTTCTGTGTGAAGCAGCTCCCCGAGCCCCCTCAATACTTACCTGAGCCTCTACCTCCTCAATGGCTGAGACATTAAGTGGGAGCCATTGGCTCCTGCTGCTGTCAATCTTAGCCAGTCAGCCAATGAGGAGAGAGGGGGCTGGGCCAAGCCGTGGCTCCCTATGTGAATGGACACATAGAGAAGCGGGTGCCCCCATAGCAAGCTGCTTGCTGTGGGGGCACCTGACAGACAGGAGGAGCCAGGAGAACCTGCAGGGGACCCAAGGGTTGGGGGTATGTGGGGGGTGATCAGAATGGAGGGATCTGGGGATATGATCAGAGGAGGGAGTGTGGTCAGGTTGGCGGAATGTGGGGGGAGGGGGAGATCAAGTTGGCAGTATGTGGGGGGGTGTGATCAGGTTGGAGGTATGTGGAAGGTGATCAGGTTGGTGGTATGTGGAGGTGTGTGATCAGGTTGTCGATATTTCTGGGGGGGGATGATCAGAAGGGCATGCACTGGGGTATATGTATGGGGTGGATTCCTCTGGGGTAGGTGGGATAAACTATAGGGGGGTGTATATTGGGGTGGAGAGTATCCAGGACAGGTGCCAGCATAAGGCTGCTTGGGTTGTTGCAGGGAGGGTCGCTTTTTTCTTTTTAATTGGGGGGGGCACCCAATTTCATTGTTGCCTAGGGCAGCACAAAAACAACATACACCACTGAAGTCAGGGCTGTTTTGGTAGCAAAAGTGGGAACTGCTTAATATTAGGTGAGTGGCCATAAAGTTATGGCTGATCGACTGTGTATTATTTTTGTAATTGTTTCTTTTGTCTCTTCTAGAAAGCAGATACTCAGCCTGTTCATTGGTGACTGTTTTGATTATCGTTGGTGATAACTGAGTCCACAATAGATATCATTAAACAAACCTTTTCATCAGAGTTGTGAAACTCTTGTTCTGCATTCTTTACAGTAAAGGGAGTGGCTCTTTAACTGTATGTGTGCCAAAGTACAAAAAAGAAGAAGTCAGGTACAGTCCTTTGCACCTACAAGTGTGGATTGGTTCAGGAGCTATATTCATCTAAGTGTTTTAATACGAGCCTTGTAACACTTGGTGTTACGTGTGCAGAGATCTCACATTTTATGGCGCTAGTTCACATCTGTTTGTTGCATTGCTGTCCTTTGCTGGAGCGATTACCTGTGGTTAGATGATCGCCCCCTAGACACAAGCTATACACCTGGGCAGAGATGCAGCCGTCATCTTGTGATTTTTTTATTTTTTGGGGGTCATTTGTGTCTCATTAGGGAGAATTCCTTTCACATCCTGTCCTGTAGACTGTCTTGCTTTATATTGCCACAACTATCTGCACCCTCCTCTGGGTCCAGCTGCAGGAATATGCTGGATTCTTGCCACAGTTGACACTAAAATCTCATGAGGCCTTGTGATAGGCAACATTTGCCCATGTTTTTTCCTTATAAATACAGAAAAATACCAGTTGATCTGCCAGAAATGCACTCAGCTCTTAACTACTTCAAGTCCAGACACTTTCATTCCCTTCGAAGGCCAAGTTATAGCTTTCAGCGCTGTCACACTTTAAGTGACAATTACTAGTCATGCAACACTGTACCCATATGAAATTATTATCCTGTTATGAGGCAGAGTTTCTTTTTGGTGGTATTTATTTTATCACCACTGGGTTTTTTATTTTTTGCTATATAAATTAAAAATAAAACACAAAAATGTGAAATATTTATTTATTTATAAAATTTATTTTGCAAATAAATAATCTTTCTTCATAAATTTAGGCCACAATGTATTCTAGATTTTTTGGGGTAAAAATAACCCAAAACAGTGTATAATATTTAATCTGTGTGAAAGCTATAGAGTCTACAAACTATGGAATATACACTATTTTGCAAAAAGTATTGGGACGCCCCTCCAAATCATTGGATTCGGGTGTTCCAACCACCTCCATGGCCACAGGTGTATAAAATCAATCACCTAGGCATGCAGACTGCTTCTACAAACATTTGTGAAAGAATGGGTCGCTCTCAGGAGCTCAGTGAAGTCAAGCGTGGTACCGTGATAGGTTGCCACCTGTGCAATAAGTCCATCTGTGAAATTTCCTTGCTACTAAATATTCCACGTCAACTGTGAGTGGTATTATAACAAAGTGGAAGCAACTGGGAACAACAGCAACATCAGCTATGAAGTGGTAGGCCACGTAAAATGACAGAGCGAGGTCAGCGCATGCTGAAGCGAACAGTGCGCAGAAGTCGCCAACTGTCTGCAGAGTCAATAGCTAAAGACCTTCAAACTTTGTGTGGCTTTCAGATTAGCACAACAACAGTGCGTAGAGAGCTTCATGGAATGGGTTTCCATGGCCGAGC